GCGAGGACAGTTGATCCTTGATGACATCCTCTGCGTATTGCATAACCATCCAGGATGGCAGCACAGAGTGTTAAGGGCAAGCACCCTCACGACAATTCCCCCGGGTCATGGTCTGATGATCCGAGGTGATGTAGTCGATGACCTCTGGCCAGTGGATACGGTAGCAATCGTAGAGCCTACGTATGGGTTTCAGAAATGTTGTCGTAAGAGGGGAGCGAGCATGGCGAGAACTTTGGTCAATACCAAGGGCCGTAATGTTCCCTTCTAGATAGCTAACCCTGGCTCCTCTGCGTTGGTCGTATATCCGGGTAAGAAACTAGCGTGGATAACGCTGGTCGCCCGGGTGTCGATGGCAGTACGTACTCGTAGAAGACTTGCGGACCAGGCGGAGGAAGAGATGGAGATTCCCGCACATATACAGAGCCTCCTTGATGGAGTTGATCTGACGCTCGGGATAGAGCAGCGTGCAGAAATAGGCAAGACCCTATGCACGAATGCCACTCTGTTCACCGCGCCTGGGGAAAGGCTAGGCAATACTGATCTTGTGAGGCATAAGATTGATACGAGGGACCACCTTCCTATTAAACAAGCCCCAAGACGGTGTGCCTTGGCCAAGAGAGAAGTGATGGACGCAGAAGTGGGGAAGATGTTGGAGGCAGGCATGATCCAGCCTAGCAACAGCCCCTGGGCCTCTCCTGTGGTCCTGGTGACCAAGAAGGATGGAAGCCCGCGTTTCTGCATTGACTACCGGCAGCTAAATGCTGTAACGGTAGAGGAAAGGCAAGAGGGACGCTTCGCTGGGTACAGGCCCAGGAGGAAGATCCGCCGAGTGTTGTGGCCGTCGACGATCTTAAGCCTTACGAAGGAGATAGTGTGCCGGAGCCATGGCCGCGTTGGGCCAAAGGCCAGCCGTCATCCCTCCGGTAGAACACATCTTCAAGTGACGAGGGCCTCTGAGAGAATCGACGTGGCAACCAGCCTATATCGTCGGAGTTACGTGCGGCTGAGGATCGTGAGTAAGACTTGCGACGTAGATGAGGACGCGGGGATCCCTGACGATGCATCATGCCGTAGTCTGGCCCGTGTACGCCTTTCTAGGAGGCCCATGAACGCCCAGAGGCTACGAGAGGTGTTATCTTGGCAAGCCCTATGCTGACCGCCGCTCCAACGAGCCGCCGTCGAGCCTCCTCTAGCGTCATCTACTCTGCCACAGAAGCCACCGGAAGCTGAGAGGAAGGTCGCCCCGGGTGAGTGTTGCTCCTCTCAGGCTAACGCTTGGGTAGTCAGGCCAGGTCAAAGGTCACCTGCCACGGTCCGTTGTAATTCCGTGCAGCCTGTAACTAACCAGCATATGTTTAGTAAATATTGCGAGACAATACCCTAACACTTACGTAATGTACCGCCTGGCTGCGGGAAGATGTATGATATTAGTTGGTTTGCATTTCTTAGACGAGTCGTGCAGATAGTCTGATGCGCTTCCTCCTGACGTTACGAGTGGCATTATAGGTGTCAGATCCGGGTAGAGATTCACGCCTCTATTCGGCAGCGATGTTAGCCAGGTCGCTGGGTCGCTGGGTCGTCGAAAGGGGTGGGGGCAATGTCCGTCCGTGCCCTGCCGACGATGTGGAAGGGGACATCTTCTACAAACCACCCACCTCTGCACGATATCGAGTTTGGCTCTAACAAATATAGCAACCACTAGTACAACACGCGTAAGGTATGCATATGCATTGTACAGTGTACGACTGTGTGGTTGATAAAAGGTTGCATGGTTGAGCGTGTCTCCCTGCATACACCGGGTAGATATAGCGAGAGCGAGGGATTACGCTTGTAGACACTCGTCTATCGTCATACCACATTTAGTATACTGGGTCTGAAAGTGGCACGTAATCGACAGATTTTGCGCTATGTAATTCGAGCAGTACTAGCGCTAGACGCTAGCTCATTACATATGCACAGAAATACGGTACAGAATTCACGTGTGGCGGTAGTGCACTCAGGCAGAATTTCTATGCTAGAACCGTATGGGTAGAAATCCTAGCAAAATTTCCCCTGTACGCTCGAAACATAGAAACCTTAGTGCATGCCGTGAATATCAGTGCCAGGTCGTCACCTCGAGTGACCGCTCACCTCGTGTGACCGCTCACCTCGTGTGACCGCTGTTCGGATTAACGTAAACACTTGTTGTGTGTGCGTCATGTGAAGCAGGAAAACTTCAAACAGGTGCAGCTGGTAGAAGCCCTGCTTGCACGCTACTCACTTGCAATCGTAGTAAGAGATGCGGTTGTAAGCGTTCCTCCCCACGTCCTCTTCCCCACGTGGGTGACGAGGAGAGTAGGTCGACGCAGGTCAATGCGTGGTTTTCTCGGCGAGAAATGTTGCATACCTTACGCTAACCTCGGCGAGCTGGTCATATCAAATGATCACTCGTTTTCGGCGAGCCCGGCGATATTCGGTGGTATAAAAACCCCAGTATTCGGAGGTAGAAATCACTGTTCGACGAGTAACCATGTCGAATAAGAGCAGAATGAACTGTACTACGAACAAGCGCTAGCCGCATATAGTAGTAGTACATGCCGACTGTGGGAGAGAGATGCATGATGTAGTGAGACGCCGAACCATGCGAGACGTGGCACGGTAGCACATCATGATATCTAGGCGCTATGTTAGGGATGAATTTCCGATACAGTGGCACGAGACCTGCTTACGTCACGGGATGACTAAGTGGACGGTCCGCCGAGTTATCAGAAGACCTGTCCTTTCACGTCACGTCGCGTGTCGACAACATACGCGCTTGTCGCCTACAGTCACAGCACAAGATGGGAAACTTGTTGCTACCATGGCTCTCCCTTACTCACCCACAACCGTTCAAGCTGACGGTTGGTGGTATAGTGAGGTGGTAGAGAAGCATGGTGTAACGTCATCACGATAGCGCCCTCTGGCACACTGTTAAGGATGAAATTCTAGCAGCGATGCGGGTAATTACTATCGTCAACGTCGGCGAACAAGAGCCGCACTCGAAAGGTGAAAAGCAAAAGCTTCACGGTTCTGACTGCCCTCTGCTAGAGTCGAACTCGCGACCTCTAGTAGACAGCAGGGGTTTCCGTAGGAGTTCGTGTTTGAGCATGAAAGTACCTTCACCACGGAGACGGTGCAGAAACCTGTCAGCGAAGGTAGCTTTTCTACTTGTGCGAGCGTCAATAGCATTAATAGCACGATAGAATTAAAAGAGGATGTAGCGAAAAGTAGCCCTGGGATTCGAACCTCGGATTCTCAGTTGCGAAATTTGCACGCTATGAGTGTAGCTATCACGCATAGTTGAAGTATGTACATCTGTGACAGGTAGTGCACCTGTACTAGTGACGCGAGACGTCCAGATGACCTCATACTAAACTATGGGCATGCTGCATCTTACCATAGGCGTATATACGTAGAGATTCGAGCTAATCTCCCGTATGTAGCGTCCGAGGACGACGACACACTGATGTAGATTGAGCGCTGACACGGGCTGTCAACTCATCTATGATGTGGGTATAGAATGAGAAGGAACAGTATTCGCGTGGCGTTGCCCACAGGTTTATTGTAAATAGGCGAATCCCTTTTTGCGTTCATACCGCATTAACATCAGTTAAAGATATCCACGAGAGATAACAATAGTAGAGAAACGATGTACTAGCATTCCCCGCTATGTATATCCGCGCTCCTATTTTGTTCGCGTGGAGTGTTTGCAAAAACACGAAAATCTCTGTTATAAGTCTTATAATGATTTATTAGCAGAGCGGCAGTGAGATAACCTGGGAGTATAGTGCGTACGGGCCACGCCGACTCCAGGAGGTATCCATTGTCCGGGCACTGCATAGTTGAGTAGTAGGATGTGGCAAGGGACTCCACATCTCTCCTATGAAACCCGTATTACGGCAAGGAATCTCGGTATGGCGATACCTCGAGACCCTTGCTTCGGTAAGCACCCGCAGATAGTGATGCGCTGCTGGTGTGAGGGCATCCGAATGTTCGTTAGCTGTCACCCCAAGGATGACTCTTGCGGGCAAGAGTCCCAAGAGAGAAAGGGGGAGTGTAACGAACTTCGGCTGCTATAGCCTCATATCCCCGCATCCTATCGTCCTGTCGCGTGTCTCAGCATCCCAGGTCGATGTACAGCATCCCTGGTGGCTATGACAGCGATCACGTGATTCCCACCGGTTGTATGAAGGAAACCTGTGGGGTGATGTGTGGCTTGTCATTTGATGTGCGTGACATAAAACATGACTTGATCACGCGTCTCTCGTGAGGCATGATGGGCAGGTAAGAAGCCCTACCCACGCTGAGCTTGTAGTATAAATGCTGGGCTCTGCTCTCAGTAAGGCAGTAGTATACCATCTGGAACGACCGAGACGGGTCAAGACAACACTGCAGCCACAAGCAGGAGCGCCTCATCTTCACGGATCACGTAAGCATACCAGTATCTAGTTAACCCCTGCACAGGGCAAGCAACTCACTACAGGGTGTTAGTTAGTACTGTTTAGCTGTTCGGTTCATCGTGTATATTTCTACACCCCAGCGACAATGCTGTGTGGGATTCTGTGCACCATCTTTTAGTTCACCTTAGTCTGTTGACTAAGGCCGAATAAAAGCCCCGGGCCTATTCCCGGCGTGAACACTTTTATCAGCTTGTTCTGGTTTTTACGGGGTTGCTATTTCGTGTGTTGACTCTTACACTACAATCCAGTGGTCGAACCTTCATTCGTCGTCACAACTAGACGTAAAATCGTTGCATATATATACACGTATATATATATTCTTTGGTTGATCATAATCGCATCAGAAGCAACAGGTCTAACAGACTTAGCTGACAGAGCTTACCAGAATAAGCAAACTAGCAAATACTCATTATAATGGTTACTCATTCAATCTTCACACGCCAGGACGCTACCGGCTAATCGCACCGTAAAACGAACAAAAAAAATCACAAAAGAAAAACACGAAAAAGAACGCACAACGGTTTATAAACACGTCGCCAGATGGCGCTCCGGCTGGATAACGCTGTCCGAATCGAGCCCTTCCGTTTCCTCCAGTATGACGGAGCAGGGGACGTATGTGGACGGCTGTGCCTGCGCCCTAGCTCGCACCTGCTGTAGCGGCGGCAACGTCTTCAACAGAACGTCGTAATAGGCGCCCCCTACCGGCAGAACGGGACGGCCGGCGGTGGCGCCCCTACCGGCGCTCATGAGAGGCGACGAGGCGGGCGATCCGTGCAGGTAGCTGACGTGTGTGACCGCTGTTGAGTCGTGCGCGAACGATAGCTCCGCGTTGCGAGCGTACGCCCGTCCTCCTCTGCTACACGGTTTTAAGCGGAAGGAGTTCGGGACACTGCGCTCTACCTGTCGGCGCCGGTACCAGTCGCAGATGCACGTCTGCACTTCTTTGTTAAGGAGACAATAGTAGAGACCGACAAACAGACCCTGTAATAGTGAACGATGAGGACTTTAAAATTACTTCTCTCTCCTCTGTCTCTCTCTCTCTATCTATCTATCTATCTATCTATCTATCTATCTATCTATCTATCTATCTATCTATCTATCTATATATATATCTATCTACCTCTGTATTTCTTTCGGTCTCTCTATTTCTCTGTTTCTCTCTCTCTCTCTATCTCTCTCTCTCTCTCTCTCTCTTTTCTGTCTCTTTGGTTCTTTTTATCTTCTGTTTGTTTGCTCTCTCTCTCCTTTTCCTCTCTCTCTCTCTCTCTCTCTCTCTCTCCTCTCTCTCTCTCGTCTCTCTTCCCCCCTTTCTCTCTCTCTCCGTTTGCCTTTCTCTTTATTCTCTAGCTGTATCTTAGATTACCTGTGTAGAGACGAGTATAGCTGCGATGTAGTCTAGTATGTAGTTTGCCGCTCACACCTTCACCTGCACGGCGGACTATGAGCTGCCGGTACACCCAGCAGCGGAGCAGCCCAGCCAGCAACCCCTTCACTCCTTTCCTGCTTCCGCCGCCGCAAATCATCACACGATGGTTAGTAATCATACCACAACTTATAATGAACGTAATTATAATAATCACCATTGTTTTTTACGATAATTAATGATATCAGTAGTAAGATTACTAAATAATAATAAATGTTAGTTTTTATTCGCTCCCGATAATTCCAATATATTGCGGTCTGCTGGTCGAATGATCAATCCTGCTCACCGCCGCCGCCTGACGAATTATTATTACACGCATGGATATTATTTATCACGATTATAATGTATTTATTATTAAATAATAAATTATAATTAATAATGCATATTAGTTGCATAAAAACGGCATGAATTCAAAATTACACCTGTGTTGTCACCTGACAAAGGTAGTTAATAAAAAATAAAATAAAATACATAAAATGGTCCTACAGACTGGCGCCACCTTACCAGTAGAGGTCACGTGACGACGTGCAGCTGACCTGTAGCTTGCGTAACAATACGTACATGATAATGCGAGTAGAACGCCGCTTCGTCTGTAACGAGGCAAGCGTGTAATATATATTTATATATATATATAATGTATATTATAATATATTATATATATATTATATATATATATATTATATTAATATTATATATATATATATTATATTATACTATAATGCGCTGTCAGACGCACGGGATTAGATAAGGCAGAGCAGGCAGATATGTGGGACCATGCTCCAATGGCTGCAAGCTCACACGTGCGCACGCGCGGCAGCAGAAATGCACGTACGCACGCGGGTAGGGGCAAACGCACGCACGCGCGCACGCGGGCATGGACCAACGCACGCACGCACGCACGTAATCGCATACGCATGCGCATGCGCCTGAAACAGTGCAGTGTTAGGCACAATTCATAAAGGTACTTATAAAACAAAATAATTTCTGTACAATGAGTAGTTCTGGTTAGCTGCTCTACACAATAATGTCTACAGCCACATATAATAAGCATACTCGATATATGCTGTTCTATGCCTGCAAGATATCCGATACACTACGATACACTACGATACATTACGATACTTACTATGAGCACGATCAGAACGGGGATGAGAAATATCAGGTCAGAGTTGATAGCATTTCTCGTCAGCCAACACCTGTAGATAATAGAACCACAGACACACGTGTATATAGATCACATACAGGTTAATATACGATATCTGTGGATAGAACAACGTAAAATAAGAGAACTCGTACACAATATAATACACAGTACACGATATATATATATATATATATATATATATATATATCTCATTCTATAATTATAGAGAGTATAACTAAAGATATCGCAGATATCTCACATGTGCACTTAAGATATCTATGTATAAAACCACGTGAAATAAGAGCAAGCATACGTAATATAATACACTGGACACGATATACAACGTAATAGGTTCTCTGCTTCGACAAACAACTAAGCAAACAAAAGTCAAAGCAAACCAATTATAAGCTATAGGCTGTTACAGAGAAACCCTAATCTGTGTTCAGTCAGCATGAATAAAGTGCATGTTGCGTATGCATCGAAACTCTCTGAGTATTTTCAATTAACTTTTGTGTTATGTTGAACCATTTTTTCTAACAGTATTTTAGTATTTTTACTAGTTCTAATAGTGCTTTTCTAGTCAGTATTTTTAATTAATGGTTGGGTCATGCAAATTCAGGCTTGCTGCCTATCAGCGCCCTCTACTGGATAGATAAGTAGTTCTTACGGACTTTTGTCGACCACGCCCTTCACGACCATCCACGTGACTATTATGAGTGCAGGAACCACTGCAACAGACAGCTGATATATAGTAATAGTAATAGTAATAATATATAATATTAATAATAACAATAATAATTATTATAATGATAATAATAATGCTACAGCTACTACTAATAATAATGATATAATATTCATATCAATAACAATAACAGCAGAAATAATTAACAACATAGTAACAACAACAACAACAACAACAACAACAACAACCAACAACAAACAAACAACAACAACAATAACAACAACGGTAATTTCATAACAAAATTATAAACCTACAAAATTATTCTACATATAACCTCACTCGTCTACAGCCCCTACACGTGGCTCCCCTTATGTAGGGAATGTTCTAGTATTTGATGAGACAGAACCCGGGAGTCTATAATAGGCCTATTATAGACTCCCTGGACAGAACACTCACCCTAGACTGGTCCGCGCTCAACAGTTCCACTCGCGATACACTGACGTCAGTGTATCGTGAGTGGAACTGTTGAGCGCGGACCAGTCTACACTCACCCCAGCCCAGCAGGCTGTACCACGTCATCTTCGCATGGCCGGACGAAAATGGTATCACGGTCCTAGCGAAGATGTGCACACCTTCCACGAGCATCCAGAAGAAATTGGCAACGTGACAGAAGTTTGTGAACGCGACCAGAGCGCGGCAGAACGACTGAAACATGACGTCATCACGTGCGAGAAACATTACACGTAGAAAATCTATAATCATATTTATTCATCGAAAAGTATACAAGTAGTTAAATACTCTAGACCAGCTAGACCAACTTAAACGCTCTTATCATATGTGAATATTAATTTCTCAACTGTATCGCACGTCGTTAATAAGCAGTGTTTTAGAACGCCGCTGACACAATGATGATTGGCTATTTCTGTGGTGTACACTCAGTAATATGAACTTGCGTAGATGAGTAGTAACCACATAATAACACTAATTATAAAACTATTGTTATAGTAATAGTAATAGTATTTGTAATAGTTATAGTAATAGTAATAGTAATAGTAATAGTAATAATAATAGTAATAGTAATAGTAATAGCAATAGTAACAGTAATAGTAATAGTAATAGTAATAGTAATAGTAATAGTAATCGTAATTCTACCTCTGTATTTCTTTCGGTCTCTCTATTTCTCTGTTTCTCTCTCTCTCTCTCTCTCTCTCTCTCTCTCTCTATGCGTCTCTCTGTCTCTCTTTATCTTTCTGTCTGTTTCTCTGTTGTTTATCTCTCGATCTCTCTTACCTTTTCTTTTCTCTCTCTCTCTCTCTCTCTCTCTCTCTCTCTCTCTCTCTCTCTCTCTCTCTCTCTCCCTTTCTCTCTCTCTCCGTTTGCCTTCTCTTATTCTCTAGCTGTATCTTAGATTACCTGTGTAGAGACGAGTATAGCTGCGATGTAGTCTAGTATGTAGTTTGCCGTCACACCTTTCACCTGCACGGCGACTATGAGCTGCGGTACACCCAGCAGCGGGAGCAGCACCAGCAACCCTTTCACTCCTTTCCTGCTCCCGCCGCCGCAAATCATCACACGATGGTTAGTAATCATAACGAACTTATAATGAACGTAGTTATAATAATCACCATTGTTTTACGATAATAATGATACCAGTAATATTACTAATAATAATCAAGTTAGTTTTTATTCGCTCCCGATAATTCCAATATATTGCGGTCTGTGGTCGAATGATCAAATTCTTCTCCACCGCCGCCGCCACGAATTATTATTACACGATGGATATTATTTATCACGATTATAATGTATTTATTATTAAATAATAAATTATAAAATTTACAATGCGTATTAAGTTGCATAAAAACGCATGAATTCAAAATACACTGTGTTTGTCACCTGACAAAAGTAGTTAATAAAAAATAAAATAAAATACATAAAATAGTCCTACAGATGGCGCCACTTACCAGTAGAGGTCACGTGACGACGTGCAGCTGACCTGTAGCTTGGTAACCAATACGTACATGATAATGCCGAGTAGAACGCCGTTCGTCTGTAACGAGGCAAAGCGTGTGTATATATATATATATATATATATATTATATATATATTATATATATATATTATATTATTATATATATATATATTATATTATACTATAATGCGCTGTCAGACGCACGGGATTAGATAAGGCAGAGCAGGCGGATATGTGGGATCATGCTCCAATGGCTGCAAGCTCACGCGTGCGCACGCGGGCAGCAGAAAATGCACGCACGCACGCGGGTAGAGGCAAACGCACGCACGCGCGCACGCGGGCATGGACCAACGCACGCACGCACGCACGCACGCACGCACGCACGCACGCACGCACGTAATTGCATACGCATGCGCATGCGCCTGAAATAATGCAGTGTTTGGCACAACTCATAAAGGTACTTATAAAGCAAAAGAATTTTTGTACAATGAGTAGTTAGCTGCTCTACACAATAATGTCTACAGCCACATATAATAATTATACTCGATATATGCTGTTCTATGGCTGAAAGATATCCGATACACTACGATACACTACGATACATTAAGATGCTTACTATGAGCACGATCAGAACGGGGATGAGAAATATCAGGTCAGAATTGATTGTACTTCTCGTCAGCCAACACCTGTAGATAATAGAACCACAGACACACGTGTATATAGATCACAGACAGGTTAATATACGATATCTGTGGATAGAACAACGTAAAATAAGAGAACTCGTACACAATATAATACACTGATGTACGTCTCGGATGTTTCATGTCCGTTTCTGTGTGTCGCGCGGCTTTTCTGGGTACAGTCGTTCACAAACTTCTGTCACGTTGCAATTTGGCGTTCGTGGATTGCTCGTGAGACGGTGTGTTTGCACATTTTGCTTTCGCCTACATGGATCGGCGATCGATACCTTATTCGTTCTCGCTTACACAGTCGCCGACAGCATGATCGGTGTGCTAAGGCCTGTCTTGTTATGGTCTGTGAGTGTGCCGCTGTGTATTTCTGGGTTTCTAATGTACGGTATTGTCATAGTTTGTGGGCGGGATTTGGGTTTTTTTGGATGTGTGTCTGTGGTGTTTCGTTATACTGTGGTAGTTACTTCGGCACTTTTGTTTTTTTTTGGCATGGTTTGTGTTTGCGGTGTCGCGAGTGCTAGTTCACATGGTCCGCGCCTCAAACAGTTCAGCTTCACGACTAGCACTGTGACGTCAGTCGTAGTCCGCGGCTCGCGACTGGTTGAGCGAGCGGACCAGTCTAGGGTGAGTGTTCTTCCATGGGGAGTCGATATAATAGGCCCTATTATAGACTTCCCGGGTTCTGTTCGTCATCAAATACTAGAACTGTCGCCTACAATAAGGGAGCCAACGTCGTTAGGCCTGTAGACGATCGTGAGCGCTTCATATGTAGAATAATTTTCGTGTTAGCGTTATAATTTCTGGTTATGCAAATCTAACGTTGTGTTATTGTTGCTTGTTGTTGTTGTTGTTGTTGTTTGTTACTGATGTTGGGGTAATTCATTTCTGCTGTTAGTTGTTTTATTGATATGAATATATCATATCATTATTATTAGTTAGTAGCATGTACAGTGTAGTGGAGTGTGATCGTTATTAATGAATTATTATTTTCTTATTAATTAATATTATATATTATTACTATTTTACTATTACTATATATCAGCATGTCTGTTGCAGGGATTCTTGCACTCATAATAGGTCACGTGGATGGCGCGTGGCGTGAAGGCGTTTGGTCGACAAACAAGTCCGGTAAGCAACTACTCTTACTCTCCATCAGTATGGAGGGCTGTTTCCTGATAGCGTCCAGTGAAGGCGCGCGGTGATAGTGGTTTTCATGAATGCCGCCAACTCGGTTATATAATAGACAATTTAGGCCTTGACGGGTGAGAATTAGAGCAGTCTAATTAGGGCAAACACTAGTAAATAAGGTGACTAAGATATAACTGTTACGAAGGAAGGATTTGTTCTACAGGAGTTTAATCAAACAAGTTAATTTTCTGAATTCAGAATACTGCGAGAGGGTTCTCTCGATGGCCATAAGCGCATACATGCAGCCTGTTGTCTGTCTCTTATGCCTGACGTGAACACGATTATGAGGTTTCTCGTGGTATATCAGCTCGTTATGCGTGTCATAGATGGTTTGCTTGACTGTGTTGTGGTCTGCGGTTTAGTTCTTGCTTGGGTCGAGAGCAGACCGAACCTTATTGATCGTCTGTACCTATTCGGTGTCCAGTGTATTATATTACGTATCGCTTGCTCTTATCTTCACGTGGTTGGGTAGTAGGTACATAGATGAGTCTTGAAGGTGCTTCAGGCGCGGTACATTGTGAGATAGGTTTGCTGCAGATATATTTAGTTATACTCTCATATAGTTATAGTATGATGAGTGAGGGTATATATAGTATTAAATTATATATAATATATATTTATATATTTCATGTACTNTATATATATATATATACATATACATATACTGCGAATAACAGTGAATTTTACCGGGAATTTTTGCGCCTGGTTTAATGACGTGTTAGTTATGATCCACATTACGTCAGCAAGGATGAAGGTCAAGCTGAGGTGGCAGTGTACCGTGTTGCGTAGGCACCACAGCTTCCTAAACGTTACCATGGAAACGAACATGTTAACCATGTCACAGTAACATTACCCAACATAACCAGTAAGAAGCTACCGTAGCTATGAGGGCAGACGTTCGCGCACACGCATGCACGCTCACGCACGCACACACACGCACGCACACACGCCCACACGCACACGCACTCGCACACACACACATACACACACACACACATACACACACACGCACGCACGCACGCACGCACGCGCGCACACAGCGCAAGATGTTTTCGCAATTAAAATACACGAGTATACGTTAAGATATAGACAGTATATGACTACCATTCCTACAGAGACAGCCCGCATGTAAAACATAACATATATGACGCAGGAAGGTGACAGCTGTTTCCTCACCTGAAATACATGAATATGAACAGAGAAGTGGCGAGGACGATCAGAGTTAGTCCATAGCCTAGCCAGTAGATGACGAATATGCCATACAGGTGGCTGGCCGAGGCGAAAATCTCCTAGATAGAGAAAAACAGTCACACGTTCATGAACCGTAATGTATATATATATATATATAATATAATCTATATATATATATAATATATATTATATATAAGTCTGCATGCTTGAAGTCTAATACTGTCGGTAGAGGTTGCTCGATGCAATTAAGTTGCAGAGCCGTAATAAATTGTAGTCTGTAAGATAAATTAAAAGACAAGACATCACTTTAGCTGTTTACTGATACCGAGTGTCACGCTTTCGGCGGATTATCAGGCAGACTTTAATAAAGATAAACTTATATACATACTATAACCTATATATAATACATGCCTATAGTGATACTATAAGAAATACATAACAAATATATAACAAAACAATAGCGCTATTCATGTATTATAGGTTATAGATGTATATAAGGTTTATTCTTCATTAAAGTCTGTTCTGAGGATCGCGTAAGCGTTTAACTCGAGTCACAGCTAAAAGTAAATGTATTGTCTTTAAATTTATCTACAGACTACAATTATTATATATATATAGTGATATATCTAAAGCAAAACAGTCACGCGTTTATGCCATTTTACTCACTTCTTCTCGCTGGTAAAATGTGTATATTAACCACACGCGCAATATTGCTTATTAACAACTTGCTCAATAACCCTATATATATATATATGTAGTGCGTGTTTAGTACATACACTATCTATCTATCTATCTATCTATCTATCTATCTATCTATCTATCTATCTATCTATCTATCTATCTATCTATCCTATCTATCGATCTATCATCTATCTACCTATCTATCATCTATCTATCTTATCTATCTATCTACTATCTATCTATCTATCTATATTACTATCTATCTAGTCTATCTACTATCTACTACTATCTATCTATCTACTATTTATTTATCTTATCTATCATCTATCTATCTCATCTATCTATCTATCTATTTATTTATCTATCTATCTATCTATCTATCTATCATCTATCCTACCTACCCTATCTATCTATCTATCTATCTATCTATCTATCTATCTATCTATCTACTGCTATCTATCTATCTATCTATTTATCTACCTATCTATCAACTATCTATCTATCTATCTATCTATGCTATATATATCTGTATTTATCTATCTATCTATCTAATCTATCTATCTATCTATCTATCTATGCTATCTATCTATCTAATCTCACTCTAATCTATCTATCTATCTATCAACCTACCTATCGTATCTATCTTTATCTAATCGATCGAATCTAGGTCTACTTATCATCTATCTATCTATGATACTATCCTATCTATCTTCCTATTTATCTTTCTGTCCTATCCTCTCTCTCTTCTCTATCTATTTATCTATCGTATCTAGACACACAATTCTCTCTCTATCTCTCTCTATCTATCTATCTATCTATCTATCTATCTATCTATGTCTATTCTTATCTCATCTATCATATCTATCTAGTATCTAATCTACCTATCTATCAATCTATCTATCTATCTATCTTATCTGTTATCCCTTCTGCTATCTATCTTATCTATCTATCTATCTATCTATTATCTATCTATCATTATCTATCTATCTATCTATCTGCTATCTATCTATCTATCATATAAAAATATCTATACATCTATCTATCTATCTAGCTATCCATTATCATCTATCTATCTATCTATCTATCTATCTATCTATTCTACTATCTATCTATCTATCCATTGTATCTATCTATCTTGATCTATCACTACTATCTATTCTATCTGTCTATCTATCTTTTTATCTATCTATCTATCTATCTATCTATCTATCTATCTACTATCTATCTATCATATCTATCTATCTATCTATCTATCTATCTATCTATCTATCTATCCATCTATTATCGTATCTAACTAACTAACGACAATCTATCTATCTATCTGTCTCGCCTGTCTATGCTAATCTATCTATCTATCTATCTTATTTATCGTAAACATCTATATATTATATATGTATAAATTATTTATTATATTATTATCTATTATTATTCATTAGGAGGTCTGTGCTCTCCGAGTGCTCTAGTTATTATTATTATTCACGCACCTCTTTCTCGCCGAGTACAATCGCCGCCAGGTGGCACTGACTGTAATTGGACTTCTGCCAAGTTCCATCTCCACCGCAAAACCTTGACGCGTTTACTGCATGGTAACAAACACCGGCGCTCATTAATTCCATGAATTAATCACAATAATTTACGTGAGTAATTATTAACTAAGTAATATTCTTAAAATAATGGAACATAACATTATATAACGTGATAATTCAACATAATAATACACCGTGGTAGTTAGGGTTTAGAACTTTAGATAGATATATAGGTAGAGTGTTAAGAGAGAGAGAGAGAGAGAGAGAGAGAGAGGAAGACGAGATCACACACGGAGAAGGAAGGAAGGAGAGAGAGAGAGAGAGAGATAGAGGAAGGAAAAAGAGAAAGAGAGAGAGAGAGAGAGCGATAGAGAGAGAAAGTGTGTGTGTGAGAGAGAGAGAAAGAGTGAGAGAGAGAGAGAGAGAGAGAGAGAGGAGAGAGAGAGAGAGAGAGAGAGAGAGAGAGAGAAGAGAAAGAGCGCGGCTTCGCGGCTCTTTCGCAGATACAGCGCCCTCTATCGACGCATAAACGCACTAACGATGAGATGCGATCTCTACCCCTGCGCTGAGGCGGATACTCACCGCTCGTATCATACATGATGCCCGTTGAGTTCGTGCATGCAGGGTACAGAAGCGAGAATGCCGGCAGGTGTGAGAGGCCAACAGGTAACTCCATTCCACGCAGCGCGGCAATATGCCACGTCTATAACATAAAAATATACACACATACACACATACACACACACACACACACACACACACACACACACCACACACACACACACACTCACACATAACGATACATACACACACACATCACAGCAAGCACACACATCACGCGCACAGCACACCACACACTCACACACATACAACATACACCAGCACCAAAGGCCGCGCGCGCGAGCCGCACGACACGGCACAACGCACACCGCAACGCACGCACGCACGCACGCAACACCAGCACACACACACACACAGCACCACACACTACACACACACAAAATACTTACACACATACATAACACACTACATACACCAAGCAGCACACACAACACAACGCACAGGCCAAACACACATACATACATATACACACCACACACAACACACACACACACACACACACACGGTACATCACACACACACACACACGACACCACACACACACACCACACACCATATATATAATATATATATATATAATTATATATACGTTTAATATAATTATGACGTATCATATGTTCGTTTTCGTTGGTAGTAATAGGTGATACCGCAGAAAAGGGGCATGGTTGTTATTATTCATGTGCGTGGGTGCGTGCATGTGCGCGCGTGCGTGTGTGTGTGTGTGTGGTGTGAGGTGTGTGTGTGTGTGTGTGTGTATGTGTGTGTGCGTGTGCTATGTGTATGTGTGAGTGTGCGATGGTGGTGTGTGTGCTGTGTGTGGTGTGGTGTGTGTGTTGTGTGTGGTTGTGGCGATGCGTGTGCGCGCGCCTGTGTGTGTGTATGATGAGAGTGTGTGTGTGTGTGTGTGTGTGTGCGTTGTGTGTGTGTGTGTGCGTGCGTGCGCGCGCCTGTGTGTGTGTATGTGTGTGTGTGTGTGTGTGTGTGTGTGTGTGTGTGTGTGTGTGTGTGTGCGTGTCATCTCTATTTCTCTTTCGCTCTCGTCCTCTTTTTCTTCCTTTACCACCGCCCCTCTCCGCTCTCTCTTTCTTTCTCTTATTCCTTCGCTCCTTCGCTCTGAAATTACCGCAGAGCTGCCTGTACGCCTCTCATTCTCTCTTTCGGCCTCTCCCTCTCGAAGAGAGAAAGAGAGGAAGAGAGGAAGAGAGATGAGAGATAGCTAGAGGCATAGAGAGAAAAAGAGCGCGCGAAAGAGAGAGACATAACGAGAGAGAAAGAGAGCGCGCGCGAGAGAGACATAGAGAGAGAGAGAGAGAGAGAGA